CAGAGGTCGCATGCAACCCTTCCGTAAATTAGGATCCCCAAAACGGCACAAACACGAGCGTTCGGAGCTTCGCGCAGATTTCGTGGATCTGCGCTGAGTCCCTGGCGCGCGGAGCGCGCCAGAGGCGCCGCCAGTGGCTTCCAGCCCAGATCCAATAACTCCGCGCTGAGCTCCGAAATGTTATGTTTGTGCAGGTTCTCTTCTTCGAGTGGAGCCTCCCCTGAAGACAGGGTCAAGTGCAACCCTTCAATAGCATACCATGGGCGGTCAGCATCGAATCGATAAATCGGATCGGATCGGAACAGACATCGAATCGGACCGCGCCGGCACAGAGTCAGAATCGAATCGAATCGGCCGCGTCTTGATGCACAACAGCGCCATGAATGCAGAGGAGAGGTGCTGCTCGAATACATCTAGGTCACGTAGCCTCGCACGTCGCGCCCGCGATGCACGACGCGCGATTACCTTCGCGCCATCGCGCCCTCGCGACACCTCCTTGGAGAAGGGCAACCGCTCTGGTCGGGGCCGCGATGCGCGACGCGCGAAGCGCGATTATCGAATAGCACTGGGCAACGGGCACTCGATCCAAGTGGGTCACCGAACTTTGCGCATCGCGCCCCGTAACGCGCGGAAATCTTCGCGTTCCCACGCAGCCGCCCTGGAGAACGGCGCAACTCCAACCCAAGCTGCCATGCGCGAAGCGCGATTATCTTCGCGCCCCAGAAGGTTACCTAGATCCAGCGATCGGGCGTCGATGTGGCGCTCATGTTTCCGTCGGTTCGGCAGAGCTCGATTCCTGAGCCCGCGCGCGTCCGACCGAGCACCGCCCAACCCCGCTAGGCGCAGGAACCGCGACCGATTGGCCAGCGGCGGAAATCCAGTAGCAAGCAATATGTTCCATGTCCATCTTGCCTGGCTTTGCGTGCTGGATCCAGCCACTGCCGGCTCCTTGTCCTCAGCCTGCGTCCTGCGCCCTGGAGGGGGCAGGAGGTTGGCTAGGAGAAGGGGGGGAGGAGGAGGAGGAGGAGGAGGAGGAGGAGGAGGAGGAGGAGGAGGAGGAAGAGGAAGTACCCCTATGCTCCCGATAATCACAAGATGGGGATAATGAAGTTCGGGGCTCTGGGGGGATAAGAAGGTTTCCGCGGCAGGTCGCAGCAAAAGGGAGAAGGAGATGTCGCAAAAAGTTAAAAAGGGGGAAGGGGGAGAGGGAGGAGGAGGAGGAGGAGGAGGAGGAGGAGCAGCAGCAGCAGCATGAGCAGAGGGGAGCATGAGCAGGGGCCTATGGGGCCACGGGCCGTGTGAGGGTTGTGCTATGGTTGGGGCATATGAGACATACACTTGATGATGATGCTGCATCTGGTGAGAATGATAATGATGCTGCTGTTGCTGATGATGATGGTGGCGTTGGTGATGATGCTGATAATAATGATGTTGATTTTGGTGGTGATGATGACAGTGATGCTGCTGGTGATGATGATTGTGATGATGATGCCGATGACGATGGCGATGCTGATGAGGAGGGTGCTAGTGATGACTATGATGATCACCATCATGATGGTGATGATGATGATAATGAGGATGCTGATGCTGATGCTGCTGATGGTACTGATGATGGTGATGCTGATGAATATGATGAGTACAGTGAGGACTCGGCCACAAGAAACCTCCGCAAGAAAACCAACACTGAAATCCGCGGTTTGTTCAATGCAAATCTGAATTCGTCAATCGAAAAGCGTCAAGATCTCATTGGGGGCCCATCGAAATCCAAGAAACCCAGGGCACCCTGGCAGAATCCAACTGGTTTCTTAGCACGCGCCCCCAGTGTATGATGATGCTGATGACCGTGTTGATGATGATGGTGCTGACGATGATGACAACGACGAAGATGATGATGCTGCTGCTGATGATGATGGTGCTGCTGATGACGGTGATGGTGATGGTGTTGCTGCTGCTGATAATGATGATGCTGATTATGATGATGATATTATTATTATGCTCCTTCTTGTTATTCGTATTATTATTATTCTTATTATTTTTCTTTCCCCCCTTCTGAGCTCCCTGGCTAGCAACAGGACAAGGCAACGAACACGCTAAAACCTGGGACTCGGGTGAGTGGGCTTTGCCCGTTTCGGCCAAAATGAGAAGCTTGCATCCTAACTCACCACCTGAGCAAGTCTAGCAAGAACTGGACGGGAACTCTACGGCACTGGCCCCCTGAGCACAGCCCCACCTGTAGCGCCAAGAAGCACAAGAAGGGGAAACATGCTCGAGGCCCTCGAAGACTGACTTCAAGGCGCCGCTCACGCCAGTGGAGAGTCTCTGAATTGAACGCAGAATCCGAGACTGCCCCGACTCCGACAACAAAAAAAAATTATCCTGGCGAAGGACCCAACCATATGCAGTTGTGAATGCCGCAATTGTGAATACCATCTACGCCCGCGCTCCTTATGTGGCCACGGCTCCCCGCCGGAGCCCGACATGCTCAGGGACACGTTCGTGGCCGTCTTCGCGGGCGCCGACGACGACAAGGACGGCGTCCCTCTCACCGAGGAGCAGAAGCAGGAGAGGGGCCTTGAGAGCCATGAGGGAGGAGGTGGCGTTGCACGTCGACAAGGCGGAGTACGACGCCCAGGCGCGGTTGTTGAACCAGCACAACTATGGAGCCACGATCCTCGTGAGGGATGTGCCGCAATGGCCCGGGGCCGCCATGCGAACCCTGCCACTGGCGCCTTCGGTGGAACTCCAGTGGGGCCACGATTCTCGTGAAGGGTGTGCCGAAATGGCCCGAGGCCGCCATGCGAACCCTGCCACTGGGGCCTTCGGTGGAGCTCCCTATGGGGCCACGATCCTCGTGAGGGGTGTGCCAAAATGACCCGAGGCCGCCATGTGAACCCTGCCACTGGCGCCTTCGGTGGAGCTCCCTATGGGGCCACGATCCTCGTGAGGGGTGTGCCGAAATGGCCCGAGGCCGCCATGCGAACCCTGCCACTGGAGCCATCAGTGGAGCACCCTATGGGGCCGCGATCCTCGTGAGGGGTGTGCCGAAATGGCCCGAGGCCGCCATGCGAACCCTGCCACTGGGGGCCTTCGGTGGAGCTTCTATGGGGCCACGATCCTCGAGAGGGGTGTGCCGAAATGGCCCGAGGCCGCCATGCGAACCCTGCCTCTGGGGCCTTCGGTGGGGCTCCCTATGTGGCCACGATCCTCGTGAGGGGTGTGCCGAAATGGCCCGAGGCTGCCATGCTGACCCTGCCAATGGCGCCTTCGGTGGAGCTCCCTTTTGGGGCCACGATCCTCGTGAGGGGTGTGCCGAAATGGCCCGAGGCCGCCATGCGAACCCTGCCACTGGCGCCTTCGGTGGAGCACCCTATGGGGCCACGATCCTCGTGAGGGGTGTGCCGAAATGGCCCGAGGCCGCCATGCGAACCCTGCCACTGGAGCCTTCGGTGGAGCTCCCTATGGGGCCACGATCCTCGTGAGGGGTGTGCCGAAATGGCCCGAGGCCGCCATGCGAACCCTGCCAGTGGGGCCTTCAGTGGAGCTCCCTATGGGGCTGCGAAGCGCTGTGCTGGGTGGGTGAAGCGCAGGGATGAGGAGAAGAGGAGGAAGGGGGCAGCGGGAGGAGTGGACGCGGGGCGCTGTCTCTTCAAAACGAGGACCCAACACCACAGGATGATTGGGAAAAACTCTAGCTCAGAAATCTCGAGAACTTCAATGTTCCCTCTCGGTCCTGAAGAACTCCTACATACTTCTAGATCTGCGCCTGCGCCTGGTACCCCCCTAAGTTCACCAGGCTCTGTATCGCATTCCGCGCGTTCGGGCCCTTCGGCGGGCCCCCTACCTGTTTGATACTGCCCTCGCCCCTCATACTGATGGCAATCACCTCCCCCGCCACGGGCCTCAGGGACGGAATTGTGAACAGCTCGATCCGATACATGTCCTCCGGCCAATTCTGCTAACGGAAGGCCTTTTTCGCTGCGCACACTATGATTTTGTCCTCTAGATCTGCGACCGACTGAACCTCTCTCGAGTGGGCCACCACTTTCTCCTTGGACTCTGCTGGAATCTCGCCGCCGTTCACAATCGACACGCAGAGCCCGATCCATGCGTGCAGGCGCGCCCACTTCAGGCGCGCGAGCTCCTCCTGGTTGCCTGCTGCGCGATGCTGCACCCTCGCTTCGTCGAAGCGAACTCCCGCCTCCCTCACCGCCCCCAACTGCCTCTGCGCCGGCCTGACTAACGCCACGAGCGTCAGGCA